AACTTTCCCTTTGTCATCAATGTTTTTGAGTGCCTTGTCTGAAGAACATGCTCTCTGCCGTGGGATAGGATGCTGCTTCCAAGGAACTATCCTTTTTCTTATGTAAAGAGTTAGCTTAAGAAAAGAAAAACTAAAACATTCCTTGAATAATTATGATCTAATTTCTTTACAGATATGTATCATTTGAGAATATGTGTTTTGATGGTAGATTAAGAAGGCAATCTGGGTGCATGCCCTGAAATTAAGAAAACCTGTGGAGCTGATTTGAGTTTTTCCTTCATTGTATTAATCTCAAGCCTGCTTGAGTCAAAATTCTTCCCCTTATTCCAAAGATGATATTCTTCAATCTAACATTCCTATTTCCTTAAAATATAAAAAAGTTATTTTTCTTAAGTTCAGTTGCTACTGGACAAAGATTGGAAGCTTCTCAGTGTTCTTCATGTATTCCCAGAAAACCAGCAGCACAAGGAGAACTAGCCAGGAAATATTTTAATGCGTAGTGCTTCCTGTCTGTTACACACTCATGAAATCAGGCCAGATGAAGACAGTGTTTATAGACTGAACACCAGAGGATGGATGGCCCATCAATATACCATCTGATTGAGTTAAAAGGCACAAATAAATTCTTATGTTATTTCTGTCACTGTCATGGCTCTTGAGTTACAGTGACTCTCTAGATTAGAAAAGAAAATATTCTGCTGTTTTTCAGTACTTGAGGTTCATGTTGATTAGAAACAACCCGTTGGACACAATTATTCTCGCTTTGTGAAGAAGAGAGACCATTTGTTGCTCCCTATAGTGAAGCATGTTGGAGGGATCTAACTGAATTAACTTCTAACTGCGTTTTTCCTGATAACTTTTATAAGGATCACTGTGAAAAAGTAGGAGACTAGGACAAACTCCAGTGGGTGGCAGTCGGGGGGCTTCTTGTAATCAGTGAGTGAAGAATTATACATGGAAGTGTTAGACAAATAGAACTGGTGTTTGTGACTTAACTCTTCAGACCCATTCTACTTCCCCTGTGTGTACTTCACACATACAAGTGTAGTTGCATATTCTTTATTGCTGGACTGATTCATCACAAATGAAACTCTTCATGATGATTTTTTTCTTATCTCCCATATTCCTCGCTTCTTATATACTTGCAAAGTTGCTTTGGAATTGTACCCTACCCAGGTCATGTATTCCTTAGTAGATTTGAAATTCCACAAAGATGTGAACTGTTCCTCAGTCTCTGGCACCTTCCTCCCTGCCGCCCCCACCATGAGAGTTGTTCTCAGTTATACACACCAAGCCATTTGGTTTCAGTCTCTGAACCAATTTAAGTAAAGCAACAAGAAGCCAATTAGAAATGTATTTTCATTACATCAAGCAAATGTTTGAAATTACGGTGCCCATATTTAAGGATGCTTTGAAATGGCAGGTGAAGAAAGTTCATCTTGAAGATTTGGGAGATTTCTCATTGCTTGGCATGTCACTCTTTTTTTGACAAAAGAAATTATTCTTGTTGAGCTAATTAGCAAGGTAGCTTTGAATATCTTAGAGGTAATGTATTTCTGTCTTCTTTTTCAGCTGCTCTTATTATTTCCACATTCTCCCCTCTACCCAGAAACCTGTGAACTAAACAAAAAGTCCTTTAATTGAAGTCATAAGTCATAAAGGTTTATGGGGTAGATAGATGGACACTGCATCACCGTGTCTTTCAGTTGGTCCTGGTGTGAGGACAGAAACAGACCCATCAGAAGGTGTCTCAGACAACATCGTCTTTTTGATTGGTTTGTTCTGAGAACATTTCAAAGCCACAAGCTGGAGAAAGAGATACTTCCCTTTTCTGGGAGTGAGGGGACAGTGGGGAGGCAGCAGAAGGCCTTATATTTATACTTTTATGGGTTCAACCTTGAAAAATAATATCTTTTCACTTGGGCAGAATCTTTAATAAAAGGAAGAGAAGTGGTTTTAATGCTAAATTAGTCTGTGGTTTCTTTAAGGGTGTTTTGGACCCTTTTAAATTTATGTAGCTAACTTACTATAGCAACTTTTGGGAGGGAAGCATTAACCTTGAAATGTTTCATAAAAATTCACTTTGTCTGGATGAAGACTCTATTTTCTTTACTCAGACTTGTTTTTAAATAGCTGTGCAGCCAGTACATAATTCTTCAGTCACTCTAACCTCTTTCTATACATTGCTTTGTTGTAATATCTTAGTTCCTAGTCATCCAAATGTCATTCAAATACAGTGAAAAAATGTGCCTTTAAGTTGAACATTAATATTATACTACAAGATTTTTGTGACAGTGGTCAATATGAGTTATTTGAAGTCATTGATGAAGTCCACACCTCCACTTAGTTCTAAGGCATCTCCTCCTAATAGTCAATTAATATAAAGGTCATTAAATCTCATAAACATCAACAATTTTTCATACTTTTAATAAAGAAAGAGAAGCAGTCAGCAGGGGAGGAAACATGGAGCTCATGCCCACATTTTCTCACCTTTTTCTTTTCATTTTGAAGAGTTTGCCTCCATAAAGCCAGAAATAGGAGGTGGCAAGGAGTTAATGGGAACTGTCCTGGGGAAAATGGAGGCATTTAAACTGGTTCTGAACTCCATTTGGAACCACTGACTTTCACCATCACCAGTTCCACTGAGGTCTCTAGGAAAAATTGCAGATTCACAGAAATAGATTTAAAACATTTTTCCTTTCTTCTTTTTTCCCTTCTTCCCTCCCTCCCTCTTTCCTTCTTTCCTTCCTTCCTTTATCCTCTCCTCTTTTTTTTTTTACAGTCTTTTTGCCTGCTGCACGATTTCCTCCAGCTGCCCAGAATCTGCCACCTCACACATTCCCTTTTTCCCACCTGTTAATACTTCCTTCCCCTGTGTTGTCTTGGTTTAACATGTAGAATTTATAAAGGGGAGATTTTTGTAAACTAGGATCTCATTCCTTTGGGCTAGTGCTTTCTCTTTTTTTTCCATCCTCTTCTATTTAATTTACTAGGGAGTGAAATAACTAGAATTAGCAATGTTGCGCTCCCCAGACCTCACTTTTGGGATTAGCATATGCCTCCATGGAGAAAGCATCTCAGTTAACACAGTCTCAAAAATTGGAAATTATCAAACAATAAGAGTTCTTCTATGATCAAGAATGTAAAACCTGCTAGAAAAATTGATACATGCATCAGAGACAATCTATTAAAATATATTCTTAACTGCACTGTTGTCTTTTTCTACCATGACTCATTGGGTGTAGACTACAGTTTTTCTTCATTTGTCTCCTGTAGAGAGTACAATCAACATTTGGTTTAGAAGATAGTCTTACAAATGTTTGCTTTAAAAATTGCTCAGTGCTTAAGGAGCTCTTTCTGGATGGTGTTGCTAGCCTTTTTCTAGCCGAGTCATCTTTTTTTTCTTACTAACTTGTATCAGTAAATTTGTTCACAAAAGTAGAAACATTGCCCATCTGTAATAAACATCCCTGAGTGCTGTAGCCATCACTAGAGCAGTGTACTTTTATAGATATTATTCCATTTCCAGGGTTGCTGACCTTTTGCCTCTTTATTGGTTGCCATAGTAATGATCTGAGCTCTGCTTAATAGAGCTTTACTAAAATGATGTATAGAGGCTTTCACAATGCAATACAAAGCTCACTTAAAAATATGCATCCTGGTGTTTGGAACTGATACCTCTCAGTGAAGGAAAGAATTTTAGGGAAAAAGAAAAGGTACAGTGCCAAGTGAGACAAATCAACCAAAAAAAAAATTATATAAAATCCTGTGAATGAAAGACTTGGAAGACAAGTGCTTAGGTACAATCTACAAAATAAAACTATTATCCCCATGAGTCTACCCACATTTTAAATGTATTTAAATATTTTGTGTTTAGCAGTATAGTCTTTTTAATTTTGTTATTATGCATTTTTCATGTTTCATTTTGTCCTTTTTAATGTTCCTTTTTATTTTATATTTATCTTTTCCAGCAAAATTGCCTTATGTCCAATTAGTTATTTAGGAAAAACATTTTTGGCAAAAATGCTGATAGTGAAAATACTGGACACATTGTAATTGGTCTCTTAGCTTTTATTCTTGTACCCCTAGTGTCTATTCACACAGTGGCCACTCAGAATATAAGTTAGATCTTGTCTTTCATCTGTGCAAAACCCTACCACAGCTTCTACTTGGAAAAAAACTCACAGTCCTTTTAGCCTGAGACCCCACATGATCTTTCTCTTTTTTACTTTCCTTACCCCATTTTCACCTACCTTCTCCTTGTTTGCTGCACTCTCGGCACAGGTTGCTCCTGAACATGCCAAGTAGGTCTCCACCTCAGGGCCCCTTACACTTGGTTTCCTTCTGCTGGGAACATACTTCCCTGAGAGACTCCCCTTGTTGCTCCCTGATACCTCCCTGGAGCAGCCTTCCATGACCCATCTGTCTAAAATGGCATCCCACCATCATTGTCTCTTTGCTCTGCTTCATTTTTCTTCATAGCTCTTATGATTTCTTGCTGTTGTATTACATGTCCATCTGTGGTATATGAGAACATAAGCCCCACAAGAGCAAGGATTTGGGCTTTCTCACTGACTGCTCTCTCTCCAGCACCTGCAACAGTGGCAGCCTATTGCAAGAGCTTAGTAATTATTTGTGGCATAAATGAATGAATGTATTTGAAGATGGATTGATTAAAAAAATGGGAAGAAAATAGTAGAAAATACCAAGTTGTTTGGAGGTTTTGAAAAGGAACTCAGGTGCTGGTGCTTTCCATGATTCTAATTCTGTCTCCCATTGTCAACCTGGCATAACCTAAGCTCTACTGCATCCTAACCTCAACTCCTTTTCCCCATCTTTGCTTTTACTACAGTCTTTACCAACCAATATGAGTGCATACTGTGTAGCTGCATGTTATAGATTCACATTATAAATGTGAAATATTGGTGATTGCATTTCCAATTTCTAAAATACTTAAAATGGGTTGACTCATGGTCATGTTCTTTCTTTTTTTAATTAAGCATCACCAAATGCCCCAAAACTTGGACCCATGGAGCTGACCATCATTATTACTGTGCCAGCGTGCCTCCTGTCCATAGCTGCAGTGCTGACAGTATGGGCATGCCAAACTCGACAGTGCACCTACAGAAAGAAAAAGAGGCCGAATGTGGAGGAACCCCTCTCTGAGTGCAATCTGGTAAATGCTGGAAAAACTCTAAAAGACCTGATTTATGATGTGACTGCCTCTGGATCTGGCTCTGGTATGTGCCTGTCGTTCATTATTCAGTAAGAAAAACTCTTACTTAAAGATAAAAACTATTTTTAACAAGAAAGGGCCCAAACATTATTAATTCCATTGTTTAAAAAGCTTGATATGGTACATGACAAATTCTGGCATAGAAACTCTTTCAGGATTTGATCAAGAGAAAAAACTGTCTTGGCCTAAAGAATTAAATCTTCTCAGTTGCTTTTTGGGCCTTTAGGCATTCATAGTCTCATTTTCACATTTCAGAATTTATTTCTAAGCAAGAAAGAATCTCTTTTCTCTGCCCTCTCCCCCATTATGTGTAGGAATAATTGTTGTTGCTGTCTTGGTTATGTTTCATGGGCACAAAACTGTTGTGGGGTTTAAGCAGTTGAGTTCTGGGGGAAAGATGTTAGTTATGCAAAGGAGTGTTCTTTGCTTGTGATTATGAAGGTCTTTAGAATCTGTAAGCAACCCCTGGGATATGTGTGTGTGAAGTTAATAGGGAGCGGACCTGAAATTAAAATCAAGAATGTGATCCTAAAGCATCAAAATGGAAGATGAAAGGGAGCAGCACAGCATTCCTATGCTGGCTTTTGCTGCTAAGGTTCTATGATAAGCCTCTCCCCTTTTAATGGAGCTCCAGAACCCCTGCTGAAGCAGTTCAAAGTGCCAGGCTATATTATGGCTTCAATGAGTCTTTCTCATAGCACAGAGCATCTGAGGGCTTTTTGGGTTTCAGATGACAGAGCAGAGTTTCCCCTGTATTAAAAAATCTCTCTGAAAGGACAGAGGGCTCCTGGCTCTTATGTTGCGCGATTCCTGTCAGCACATGGTGTTGCAGAAACACGAGCTGGGGTAAGCCTAGGTGAGCCTCTTTAGAAGTGCCTGCATCCCCTCTTGCTTTGGAAAGATCATTAAGGATGATTACCCCAAACAGAATTGGAGAAACTCCCTTGCCCGTGGCCTTTGGGAGC